GCAACAGAAAAGTTGCAGCTCTGCAGTCCCTTGCTGCGTGTCCACCCCAAGCGCTCTGCTCAGAGCTCCTGCGCTGCCCGTGGCCCGGAGCGAGGGGAATGGCTTCGTGCCAGGCAGCCGCTGCTCCTGCCCTTCACCCACCCAGACCGGCCCCGGCGGCAGCTTTCTCTAGGAAGCACCGCTGCGGCTTGAGCTTGCCTTCCTTGCAGCCAGCTCCACTGCAGACATTGTGTCCCCCGCTGCCCACAGGGCGAGGGAGTTTGCTGAGGCCTTTGCCTCATGGCTGAAACAGATCACGTAAGCTGTGATGCTGGAATATCTGTTTCGTAACACATGCAACAGCAGTCCTCTGCTCGCTTGGTTCAAGTCACTAGCAAAAATTCCACTGTTTTTTAGTGGGAATGTGGTCTCATCAACTGTAATTTCTTATGCTGTTGCTAAGTATTGTTGTTGGAAAGTTGTAGGAGCTTTCCATCCAAAGTAAGTAGGTTAATCCTGTAATTAATGTTAAGAACTAAATCTTGCCAGCTGTTAATCGTAAGAACTATTTTTCCCTGAATTTTAAGGACCCTGCTAGTGATCTAACTGAAGCATTAGGAAGGATATGCCATCCACAAATTGAAAGAGCCACATCCTATTTAATCCGGGAAGAGAAAATATAAATTGTTACTATTTAGATGGATACACTATTTGCAATCCCGATCAGGCATTGTTTTACCGGGGCAGGAGGGACTAACTGCTTTGTTGCCATTTTCCCAGGAGTACCCCACAGCGTGGAAGGCTCCTTCCCCAACTTGGTGATGTGGTAGTTATCATGAAGTTGCAGAATTCCTCTGCATTTATACTGCTTTTTATATTACAAAGAGACATTCAAAAGAACTGTGTGTAGAGTTTGGCTTGGCAGACTACTGAAATGAAAGCATATCACACGTGCAGCTCCTCTGGTGTAAATCACAGTTATGACATCTCTGATGTCCTTCACTGGCCTAGCAGAAATCCACTTCTTTCCTCAGTGCATGCTTCCTTCCACTGCAGATGAATTACATGCATGGTGGGGAGTAGAAGCAACATATTTACACTGGTTTWGGTCAACTTGACGCAATGCTTGCATGGGCTGGAGCAGTACACAGGAACATTGCTTATGAACTAGAAAAAAAGATCAAGACCTTAACTCAGAGGTGTCCAAGCAGAAGCTCCATCTCGTGACGCTGGAGATCTGTCCCATCTGCAGGTCATCAGTACACCCTGTGCTGCAGGCCCTGCTCAGGAAGCCAGCTCACTGGCCAGGCTCTGAGGCGACACCTATGACAGGGTGAACCAAGAGGCAAATGAACCCTTCATATCTTTGTAACTGCCTAGGGCACAGACCCCCGGGCCTAAAGGGACTCTTCCCGGCCAAAGGCCGCATCCCAGAGTGGGGGATGCTCCCCGCTGACTCGCACGGACTCTGCATCAGACCGCATTTACAGMCCAGGTTCCTCACCACTTTGTGGTCGAGGCTCTCCAGTCCCTTGTAAGATCAGACTGCCACAGAGTGCTGTGTTCTGCTTCTCCAGATGGCTGGCTGAATGCGTCTGTCAGCAGAACAAGGCTGCAAATCTGTTACAAAAGATTTTCCTCTAACCAATAAATCCCTATAACTTTCTATAAAGCTGCAAGCTCTGAACTGTTCCTACTAGCTCTCTTAGCATAAAAGCTACAGAGGGCTTGACATACTAGCATCAATCTTCCGGTCTGTCAGCAGACAGCTTTTGATTAAATTCTACTTGATAAGGATTAATCAATTCTTAAAAGAAGTTTAGGATTTATTTGTTGATTTGTCACTCAGCAGACACAGCTGTCTTCTGGGTAAAAAACTAAGTTCCCATTCCTAAGGCCGTGCTCCCTTTGCAGGCTTAAAATTAGTATTGCATTTAGGACTATTGAGCTCTGACTCTATCTCCAGTTTGCTTAGACAAAGCCTAGGAAACAGATCCACTTTCTCCTTTCAGGTGTAATAGGGCTAAGAATGGAAGCAAGTGTGTACAGGGTAAATAGTGAAAATTGGATTGTTTATAATACTACATATTTGGAACATTTAAAGCCTAAGCTGTGCTGTTCTGGGTGTTGTGCAACATTGGTTATGCACGTCGGTTGTGCAAGCCACTGGAGTTTGCTTCTGTTCTTGGGCTGGAGGGGTAGCATTTTTAAATCAGGAGGAAAACTAAGGAACCATGAGAATAATGCTCCTAGAAATAGTGGCCTGTTTCACTTAAGCAGCATTAGCTATTACTGCTCCCTTCTAGGTAACRTGGTTTCCACGTGGAGCAGAGTTACTGGTGGAGGGATACTTTTCTAAGAAAGAAAAAAAAAAATACATACCTCCAAATTCTACTCCCAAAGCACCTCAGTCACTTTGGCTTCTAACCAGCAGAACCTCCAGCATATTTATTTATATGCTGTACAACAATGGGATTTAGACATCTACCATCCATTAGTAATTATAGCCTCAAACTTGAACGTCTCTTTGAGTTTTAAAGGATGTGGATTCCCAAGTAGCTTAAGTACTTTGGGAAATATTAACTTTAATAGTAATAACTTTTATTAGATCCAAGGTTTAAAGTTACTCTTCTGCTGTGAAATTACTATCAAGAAATGTATGTGCGTGTGCCTGGGAAGATTCAGCCAAGCCTTGAGAAAAGCCTTCCAGTCAAAGTCTTCCCAAAACTGCAAGTATTTTGCAGAACTCTATCCTGCCTTGCAGAGCCGTGAATACGAAGCTTGTGAGGAGGACTGCTCTATTATCTGCAGCCATTGCTCCAGCAAACCACGGAATGACTGAAACRTACACACGTTTTCTTCATAGTTCTCAAATGTTTACACCTCCAGCGCAAAAATGCACATTCTGAAAACCAGCAAATGATTAAAGTCCGGCTACTGCACTGTCCTTGTCAGCTTGGAGGTGATGTGAGGGCCCAAGTAACAGCTAAAAYAAACCCTTACTTTGTTCAAGAAAATACAGATAGCGTTGACTAGTATTTTTCTGACCACGGGGCAGAACTGTAACCAGCAGAGAGCTTTGCAAAAGTGATTACTGCTGAGGAACGGGGAGAAGAGGTGGAGTTACCTGTCAAGCTGTTCAGTGTCAGATCTTCTTGAATGAGGCCCCTATGATAGAAATGTCCACCTCAGACCTAGCTCCCCCTGTGACCAATGCAAAGAAATGGGAACTACAGTTCGTTTGAGGCCTTTCAGGCGTCTGGCAAGAATGAGCTGAAAATTGACCCAAGAGTGGTCATTTCTCTATGCTAACTAAAGGAGCCAGGAGAGTCATATAGAGGTAATGGCTGAACCGAAGTGAAATGTATCTATGTAACCACAGACAGGCCACTTACTATGCACTTTAGGCTAGGAATTCACCTTAAAATTGTGCCTATATTARTGACAAATGCAATAAGGTCATGTCCTCAACCAATATTTATGCTGGCCCACCTATGTCCAATTTTAACCTGCAGAAGTTCTTTTGCTAGGTTYGCTTGGTTCAACAGTCAAGTTTGTGTTATTTAAGATGTCTGACGTTGGTAAAAACATCCTTTCTGCTTTCTACAATACATAAATTGGGTGTCCATAAATATGCTTATATCTATATGTTTGTATGTGTGTGCATATATAGATATGTATGCGTAAATAGTTTGACTACTGCATATTCCTCTTCAGCTGAGGGAAATGAGCTGGTTACACAGCTTTGAGACAAGCATTTAGTTTTCCTTACTAAATGCTACTAATATGCTAATTAGGAAATAGCCTTATGGTGGTCTGGAAAATCCTTCTCCCTGAAAAGGGAATGCTCTTGGGAGCCTGGAGACTCTCACGCTCTGCACCAGCTAGGAAATAACCACAAGGCGTTCTACAAAACATAAAGGCACTATCAATCCAGCAACAGGTTAATCAATGGCAAGAATGACATATGTAACTGCACAACAATTTTACCTGCTTTTAGGTTGAGACAATATTATAAAATAACAGCAAGATATAGTAGCATCTGCGCTCTTAGTTTGGAAATTGCTTCTACGCTAGTGCTTCTGTGTGGCAGAATTTCAGACCTGTTTATGTCTAGGGGCAGCAAGAGGCTTGTTTCAAGGCTGCTGCGYTTGTTTCATGGTGCTCCGCAGTGGCTGCCAGACATGCAGGGTGGGCAGGGTGTCACACCGCGCTGCTATTTCGCTGGGCGCTCCGCCGTGTCCTCCTCACGCGACCTCCTGCACTGCCCCAGTGCGCCAGGCCTCCACCTGAAAAATTACAATTGGATTTTCAGAGAACAGAAAAAAAGCTGAGTTTTCAGTGTCTGGTTAGCTGCCAAAGAAGACTAATAATTCCCTGAATACCTCCCACAAATACACTGTAAAAAACAAAACTTTTTATTTATAGATATTATATAGTTGTGTGGAAAACATTGTGCAAAGCAAAATATTAAATACTTCTTGCTCTATATGAGCTAACATTAAGTGATCAAGAATACTTTGTTATACAAGTTCTTTTTCAATTTTATCTCAGAAATATTTTGCCTGCATATATCACCTGATCAGTGTATTTGCTCAAAGCTTTGTGTAACCAAGAAAGGAAACGTATCCCTTCCAGTCAATGTGTAAAGCCTGTACTTTAACTCCTGCCCAGGTAGAAGTGCACTGTTAAACAAACAAACAAACAAACAAACAAACAAACAAACACCGACGCCGAGACGATGCTGGTCTTCAGCAGGCAGGACGCGCCTGCCGCGCGGGCGGAGCGAGCGCACTCATACGGGCCGGGGCGCAGGGCGAGGCCGCGCCCTGACGCCGCGCAAGCAGCCGCGCATGCGCCCTCCGCGCCCGGCCGTGCCAGACCGCGCGCACCCACCACACGCGCACACCTGCCGGCGGGGCAGGCGCTCGCGGAGGCCCCGCCCCGCCGCGCACGCCCCGCCCCCCGCGCAGCCAATCCGGCGGCGCCCTGTTGGCGCTGCCCGGCGGGCGCAGCACGGCCAAGATGGCGGCGCGCGCGCAGCGGGTCGGACGCGCGGCCCTGGTGGCTGCGGTGCTGCTGGTGCTCGGCGCGGCGCCGCTCGCGCTTGGCCAGGCGGCGGGCGCGGAGGGCGGCGCTCCGCACCGCCGCTTCGAGTACAAGTACAGCTTCAAGGGGCCGCACCTGGTGCAGGCGGATGGCACCGTGCCCTTCTGGGCGCATACGGGCAGTAAGTGGGACCGGGCGGCTTCGGGGGGAGGGAGCCCCAGGGCCCTGCGCGCCGCGGGCGGCCCAGCCCGGTCCCGACCCCGGCCCGGGGGCGCGGCCCGCCCGGCTCCGTGGCCCCTCTCCCCAGGAACCGGTGCYTGAGCAGCAAGGCCAGTGTTGTGCTTGGACTGTGCGTTCTGGCGCCATATGGCAGGTGAATGAGCCCGCTGTACGACACTGGCAATTCACCTGGCAAAAATAAGATACGTTTTTTTTTCTCTTTTAAACTTCCAAATGTTTGAATTATCTATTATAAAATAAGTATCAAAAACAACTCCTTAGCTGAGGACACCAGCTAGGGAGAGAGTTAACTAGTTAGAGAGTTAACCAGGTGGCTAGTCAAGCACTTGTCATCCACATTACCTTGAGTAATCTGTGTTGGTTTCCCCCTTTTCCAGATGCCATACCAAGTGCAGACCAGATCCGCATCACAACCTCTCTGAAAAGCCAAAGAGGTTCTGTATGGACAAAGAATAAATCAGTATTTGAGTTCTGGGAAATCGAGGTGACATTTCGAGTTACGGGAAGAGGCCGTATTGGAGCTGATGGGCTGGTATGAAGATTTTGCTATAAACTTAAAACTCACTCTTCTATAGTGTGCTAATCTTTAAGTAATGACCCTTGTTTTCTGTATATAGGCAATCTGGTTTACGGAAGAGCAAGGCTTGGAAGGTCCTGTTTTTGGGGCAGCTGATCAGTGGAATGGAGTTGGAATCTTCTTTGATTCTTTTGACAATGATGGAAAGGTTAGTTGGAGGCAAACTTCTTGAAAGTTTGCAAATGAATTTCATACTTCTTTTTTGAATTTGCAGCTTTGTGAAAAAATGTCTTTTTTACTCTTTTTTTTCCCTGTCTCATATTCAGAAAGATATGTTATCTTACAGAATTTGAACTAGGCTTCCTCAAAACTTTTTTTTTCTTTAATGGATCCTTAAGTTTGAAAATTAAAGCCTAGCATGTAAATAAACCAGTATACAGTAGAGAATAACCTATTAGGTTTGAGGGGAAAATAGCTTTGGCATGTGTACAAGCTGAAATTCAAAATGTCACAGTCTGAAGTATTGATAGATCTGAAGGCTTGTGCTTTGGAAGAGTCATTTTGCATCAGTATATGCCACTGTGGAAATACAAAGTTTTGTGCCTTTTCATAGAATCATAGAATGCCGAAGGTTGGAAGGGACCTCAGAGGTCATCGAGTCCAACCCCCCTGCTCACACAGGGTCACCTAGAGCACGTGGCACAGGGCTGCATCCAAGCGGGTTTTAAAGATCTCCAAAGAAGGAGACTCCACAACCTCTCTTTTTTTCTTTTTTTTTTTAAGGGATGCTCTTTTTCTTGAACCAAATCTGTCTACAGCAGTTCTATGACATTTTTATGTGTGCATGTTTTCCCCCTTTTCCTTTTTCTTAATTTTTTTCTCTGAATCTCTAAATTCAGAAATTCAGTGATAGATACTCACTTTGGATTTTTAATTTTTCAGCAATCCAAAATAATTTTGGATAAATCTACTGATATCTAATTGGTCAGGGTTTTGGTGTGGGTTGTTTTTTTTTTTTTTTTTTTTTTTTTTTTCCTCCTCTCCTCCTCCTCCTGTGCTATTTGGCTTGCTTTGGAATGTTTCGGCTATGTTTGTTACTGATTTCTGATACATGCCTTGAACGTGGACCCTGGCCAAAGATGGGATCTGTTAAAAGTTGCATGTGGATGGCACTGCTTGCCAGGCTTTGACAGGGCTAGAACTCCTCATGAAAAGTTCAGTCACTGTGGTGTGAAACTTTTTCAAAAGTGATGATGTGTCACTTCTAAGCAAAACGGAAGTCAGMATCCCCTGCCTGTTTTATTTTTGACATATTCAAAGCATCTCACAAGTTCCAACATTTAAGTGAGCTCTTGTTATTTTCTTCAATCCTTATGTGGAGAAATTCTTTCTCCTATTTTCAGTACATTCAGTGGAAGATGTTTGAAGCCCCACCTGGCCCTCAGCCTAATGCACAGCACCCAAGGGGCTTCCTGTAGTACTGCCAAGCACCCTGGTGACAACACTGGTTCTAAAACTGCATGTTTCTTTTTCCTATCCTGCCAAAGCTGTATGTTGTACATACAACTCATGTAATGAGTCGAATTTATTATATCTCTGTGTTTATTTCTTTTGTGACTGTGTGTGTGTTAGTAGTGGGTTTTTTTGTTTGTTTGCTTGTTTCACCTCTTCCTCCTTTCTGTGGTCTTTTGGAAGCAAAAATTCTTGAACTTATTCTCTGCTTTGGGTGGATTCTGCAATTGCTTTCAAGATCTTCTATGTTTGCACAATTCAAATCTTCCTCCAGACATGATCCACAACTGAAACTGAGCTGTCCGCCAGCAGTCAGTGTTGAACGCTTCTTGTTAGTAGCAATCCCCTTAGCTCTGAGAGAGATTTGGCTTGTGTTTTATTCATTAATGCATTGAAATTAAACTGTTTGTACAYACCTTGTGCAAAATATATGCAAGTATACAAGTATACTATGATTTAATTCAATACTGTTAAACTGAAATTAACAGTAAAATGGTGATATATAAGATACTACAGCAGCACTGAGACAGTAAGACCAATACTAAAACTGACTCTCAAGTCATATTTAAAACATAGTAACACAGTGATATCTGTATACCGGAAATCTGTTCTCTTATGCTGCCAAAATATATGTGATAAAGGTACACAGTTGGTGGTTGTGCTTCTCAGACCATTAAAGCAAAAAAGTCACCTCACACCCCAAACACTGTGAATTGAGACTACCACTGTTTCTTGAATTTTAAGTGAATTTTAAGTTTTGAAGGGGGAGGGAAGTTTACCTCTGAAAACCAGGTTCCTGTAAAAAACAGGATTCATCTCCTAAACACTTGGAGGAAACCTGATAGGAATCTATAATGTCTGTTTTTACCACTTTGTTCTTGCCTTCTAGCAACTTACGCAGCCCAAGGTGTTTTCAAAAGAGTTTTAGTTCTTCAGGGTTTTCTAATGATTGTAGTGAGATTAGCAGAGTGCCAACGCACTCTTTATCTAGTTTTTGCAGTGCATGTAGCCCAAGTCAGATGAACTAACTCCAGTGTTTTTAAAATCTATGCCTTCACTGGATATGATTTTTTCCTAACTGTGTTTTTAGTATATCTATGTATTTGTCAAGTGATGGTAATTAATAGTATATCCCTTAATTATTTTTTGCACTCTTAACTATTCAAGGCATGTAACGATTTCTTGCAAAACACACAGCATGACAGAGCTATTTCAGTCCTTTTATTTTATGTGCATGAAGACTATATAGAACTAAAACATCTATAATGTTTCTGTAGCACAATGTCTTTATATGCTATAATCACAGAGGGCTATCACTTTGCATATGATTTAAGTGGTTTTTTTTTTTTTTAATAGAAAAACAATCCTGGTGTGATTCTTGTAGGCAACAATGGAAAACTTCTATATGACCATCAGAAGTAAGTTTATTTTTGGTGTTAGTTTAATGGTGGGTATTCGGTTTGGGTAGTGAAATATTATGTGAAACTCCAGATGTTCTTTACACAAATTAATATTCAAGTTAAGTCATGTGTTCCATGCAGAGGAGTACCAATATTCAGTATGTACTAATGAGAAACTGCATTCTGAAAGCATAGATTGTCTTCAAGGAAAGTTTGTAAACATTCCTTAAAAAATGTTGCTGTTCATCCACATTCCTTCAGTTTGAGATTTTATTTTAATTGAGACTTGGCAGTAGCAGCCCAGAAATGAGCAAGTGATGGATATTTAAATGCTTTGTGTCCTTAGGGGTAACTTGAATAAATGGAATTACAGATTTCTGGGTTTTTTGTTGCTTATTGGCGTCCACATGCTGCTAATAATTATTGAGAATGACTAGCAGAAATCTATTTCCTTGATAGTAAAATATATCCATTTAATTTTGGCTCATGTTGGTTTATTGACATAATGTTAACTTTTTTGACAACTAACATCTGTAGATTCTCTGAGAAGACGTGTTCTAGATTACTACTTTTGATCACAGACCTTTAGAAAAACTCAATGCAGTTATGGGATAGCTTTTACATCCGTGGAGGTTAGCGTAGTGCTGCTTACTTCTTCCTCCCTCCCCCGCCCCTTTTCTTCTTTGTCTTAGGTGGTAAGTTATAAGATGTAGCTTTATGCAAGTTGTTGTCTTTTATAGTGATGGTTCCACACAAGCACTGGCATCCTGTCAGAGGGACTTTCGTAACAAGCCCTATCCTGTTCGAGCAAAGATTACGTACTATCAAAAAACACTGACTGTAAGTACTCTTGAAATCACATAAAACTCAAGTTTCTCAGCTTATGTGGCTGCTCTAACTTGCAAAATCCCAAATAACCCCTTATGATAATTGCAGTATGTCTGAAAATATTGTGCTTAGCAATAGAAGTTGTAGTAGAGTGCTGCAAACACTAGACATGCTTTTAGGTATACTGCTGCATTCTGTAGTTTCCTGGGCTGTTTTGGCAGGTATTGCTGTGTGTTTGTTTGTTTTGTACTTACAGGTCAGTCCTACTTGTGTGCTCGTAAATGCTTAGACCCTTCCTTTGTTGTTGACTGGGCTATAGATTTGTCCTGAAGCCAGCACCTGTTCCTAAGCGCTCCCTGAATTAGAATGGTATTTCTCATGCTGGCCTAAATTGCTGAGGCTTTGTCAGCAATGTTTTATTGGTGCTTTTTTTTATTGTTTTTTTTTTTAAGAGATTCCCAAAATGTTTTTAAAAAATGAAGCTCATTGACAGTAGACTTAAATTTGGGATTTGAGGCTTCACATCTCCAGGAAATATCAGGACTTTGGTCACTGGAAAACATAGAAAATAGCTGGTGTAGAGGAGTGTAGAGAAGTGTCCAAGACATCTTAAAAATTATTTCAGTTGTGAATGCTGTCCAGAAAGGGACAGAAAAATACATGGCACTGGATTAAGAGAGCTATAAAATGAAATGTTTCTTTTCTGGCTTCTGATATCTACTGAAAACATGTTCTTCCTAGCTATTAGCCAATTAAAACATGTCTATCATTTTGTAGTAAAAGTTTGTCTAAAAGTAAACACAAGGGTATCTAAGAGAACATGGACCTTGTACTGTATTGTAATGGTCTTGGCTGTTTGTTACTGGTGAATGAAAATAAAATTTGGGACTTTTCAAGCATATATGCATTGTTCTTGCTGCTTTATCTAGGAACTTGTGATCCAAACAGTGCTGCCCACCTTAGCAATTCTGTCAATATATCTAGGGAAGGAAGCAAGTTTTTCTAAGCGTAGTTAAAGTAATAACATTGAGCAACCCTTCTAGATGTGTGTTGGCCACCACCCTACACAAATGCCTCACTGACAGACTGACCTTCAGTGATCTGCAAGTCAAGTACTTCCTGAATCAAAGTTGACAATATTAGAATTTTATCAATTTTCCAGTCATGGCTTTGTTTTCCTGCTGTTTATACCTGAAAAAAGTATTTTTGTGTGTATTGCTGAACTTTACACAATATATACTCTTCAAGTGAAGAAGAAAATGTTGAGCTTTTCCATGATGAACTCTTTTTAAGGGAAGATGATGTATTTTATTTTTTATAAGTGCACTTCTGAAAATAATTCTTGCTTTCTAGCATTAGCTGCCAAGTTGCCCAGTAAGTTGTATTTATTTTTGGCCATCACTGTACTTGCACAAAATAATTAACAGAAATGGAATTATGCAGTAAGATTTATTGCTTTCTTTTCAGGTGTTCATTAACAATGGCTTTACTCCAGATAAAGAAGACTATGAGTTTTGTGCAAAAGTGGAAGATATGGTATTGCCATCACAGGGATATTTTGGAATATCTGCAGCCACAGGGGGACTTGCAGGTAACATAACTCCTCACTGAGTTTATCTGAGTGCTGCATTAGGTTAGCTACAGAACAAATGAGATTGTATGTACATCTAAAGATTTTGGCAAAATACTGCTTAGCAACTCGTGYTGAAATTTCAGTGAACCTTCTTGTCAATTATGTGAAATAACGTCACTGGCATAAGAGCAGAAACTTGGACCACCATGCAGTCTCATTCTCTACRGCATGAACTTTTGAAAGAACTTTGTTCGCTGAAGGTCTTTGTCAAGTACAAGCTTGACTTTGGAACTTAAAGACACTACTTTTACTCATTCTCTTCAACTGATGGCAATATCAATTAACAAGTTATTCAGTGTATTTTTTTTTTTTTAATATAGATGATCATGATGTCCTTTCTTTTCTGACCTTCCAGCTGACTGAACCTGGCAAAGAAGTTGTAAGTATCTTTGTATGTAATCACTAAAATATGTTAGTGTGTATTTCTGTGTGTAGCACCTTAGCTACTTAACTTTGTTCTGTGTGGGAGTGTTTGGTTGTTTCTCTCCGTGTATCTGTGCTGTCATCTATATTCTGGAAAAAAAATAGACTAATATTGTAGTTTTTTAGCAACATTTTAGTTGTGTTTTCAAGATCAGAATTATTGAAGAAACAGTGTATCTGCAAAATGACTCCTGCTGTTAAATTAAAACAAAGTACTTAAGAAACAAACTGAAAGGATACTTTTATACAGTATACTTTGGAAATTACTTTGGAAATTAATATGTTTTGCTTTCAGCTTCCTCTTCTTTTAGAACAATTATGTACTGCAAAACATCATCTGTGCTTGTAAACTTGAATTCTTTATGATCACAGAAACTGATGCATCAGGGAAAAGCTATCAGTCTCCATGGAAACCTTTGATTCCTCAATTCAGCTTGATATTAATGTGCTCCAATAATCTGATATTTCTCTTCAAATCTGAAATCTAGACAGTCATATAAGAGTATTTGAGAGCTTTAATGATTGATAGCAATAAGTATTTCTCTCTTTGATAATTTTTAAAGCCTACACCAGATACGGAAATTCCTCAAAAAGATAAGGAGAAATATCAAGAAGAGTTTGAACACTTTCAGCAAGAGTTGGATAAAAAGAAAGAGGAATTTCAAAAGGAACATCCTGATGTGCAAGGACAGCCAGGCAAGTTAACTGCGCAATTTTTCAGTTGTCAAGTAAAACCTATGTTTTCTAGGATCTTCCAGGTTAGAACCTGATACTGTGAAATACCATTCCTATTTCCTAATCAAAATCCTATTGATTTAGCTTTCTTTAGTGCTTTCTAAAATACAACATTCCTCTGTAATGTCTGGATGGTGAATGAAAAAAATGAAAAGAAACTTAATGGGAACGATAAGGATCTGTATGGGACAGTAGGAGGGAGAAGTTGTGTAGCCCTTTGAAAAGTGGTGATAAGGGAGCATGATTTTTTGTTATTTGAAGATGTATTTGAAACACAAATAAGATTAGCTTTCTTATTTTTGTGGATTGAATTAGCCATWCTTAAGTGCACGCATATGAGGAGCACATTCCTTCAAAATAGGCCCAGTCATGTCTTTATATCAAGCTACTGTTTTTTAAAAAAGTTTTTCACTTCACACTCACAGATCTAATCTGAGAGGCACTTGAAGTTAATAGGATACTAGCTTACGCAAGCATAGTTGTCTCCTACTATTAACATCATTTCACCTGCATTTTATGTTTCAGCCTGTCTGCATATTAGAACAGGAACTCTGGGGGTGGATCTGGGTTTGGATGTGTGTTTTTTTTCTCTCTTTGGTCACTAGAATAGTATTTTGGTGTTCTTGCCCTTGATAATGGTGATAAATAGCCACTGTAGAAGTAGTATGTTAGCTTGCCAGGATAAACTGTGTCTGTGTGGAAACTTGTAAGACAGAAGACAAATTGTAACTTGCAACGTATGAGGAACGCGTGTGTATGGGTTTTTTTAATTTATATATATTTATATATAAGTATATTTAAAAAAATCCTTTTTTTCTTCATAGCGGATGATCTTTTTGAAACTGTGAGTGATCGTGAACTGAGGCAAATCTTTGAGGGACAGAATCGGATTCATCTTGAAATCAAGCAGCTTAATAGGCAGTTGGATATGATTCTGGATGAGCAGAGGAGGTACGTCTCTGCTGTGACAGAGGAGTTTACCAGAAGAGGAGCTGGTGTTCCAGATCAGCAAGGACAGGTGAATTCMAAAAATATACCATGATTGAGAGCTCAATCTGATTTCAAAAGCCTTATCAATTGCTTTTTCCAAGATAGGTTGAATATTTTGATTTTTAACTACTTCCTTTCCTGTCCAGGTTTCTCAGCAAGGGATTGATCAAGTTGTGAAAACTCAAGAAGAGGTCATTAGACAAGTGGATGAAATGAGGTAAACGCCTTCTAAATATGAAGGCCTTGTTTTTCATTTTGTATCTTCTGCTTTTTTTAATCCTGCTTCTTATTTCACTGAGAGTTTTGGCAGACTTGTAATGTCTGTGCACTACTTCCTTAGTGGTGCCTGTGTGCATGTTTTCAAGTTTGGTATTAAAAGAGTGAGTGTGTGTGTGTGTGTGTGTGTGTGTGTGTGGAGGATGTGTGGGTGCTCTGGTATAAGAGTGTACCATTGGTCTCATTTATCCTCAACATGCGATACAGAGTCTTTAGAAACAGTCAGTGTCAGTAGAACGGAGATGCTGAAGGGACTGGAGCATCGGCCCTAGGCCAAGGGAGCTGGGTTTGTTCAGCYAGGGGTGGTCGCACAGGAGGATTATAGCAATGGGGGTCGCTATGTGAAGGGAGAGGGTAAAGGAAACTGAGCTGGCCTCTTATCAGTGATGTACAGTGACAGAATAATGGGCAATAGGCACAAACTAGAATGCAGAAGATTGTACTTAGCCTTAAGAACATTATGGTGTTATGGGAGTAACTGAACACTGGAATAGGTTGTCCAGAGAGGTTGTGGAGTGTTTGTTCTTGAACAAACTGAAAAATCTGTTTATGGCTAAAAATACCTTGGTTTGTTAGATGACAAGTTGTCCTATGATACTTGCACAATAAAAATATTCTATGTTTCTGTGCAATATCTTGCACAGAAAAGAGCACTCTAGCATTAAATTTCTTGCATTTACTTTTTCCCTCCTTTTCTTCTGTGTAGCTTTGATTTGTTTTAACCCTTCTATTTAACCTTGTCCTCATATCTTGTGGTGTAGATTAGAAATAGTACAATATTTCAAAACTGTACAGAAATGGAAATACCTGTCCTTTCCGTAAGAGTTCCATGATCTCATTTTGCTATTAAAGAATTTATTTTTTTCTTGTTCTAAGTTAATATTTTATGGTCTAAACTTACTTGAGAAGATTGTGTCTATCAAARGATACATCAATATTTTCACTTCAGGTGGTTGCATTAAAGGAGATGCACAGTTACAGGTCTGATTCTTTGCCTGCATTAATTTGATTGTGTGACAGGCTTTTGTAGCTTGTTAGAATCTATTTGTACTAAAGTAAAACCAGCATTTTTCTCTTCTTGGAGGATTCTTTGGCAGTTAGCTCAGGAAACTTCTGTATCTGTAGGGATATTTTTAAGCACTTAAACACTTAAGAGTTTTGATTTTCTTTTTTTCTTTTAAGATGCAGTTATTTCAAAAGGATTCAGATGCTGTACCCTTTCAAATTAAGTTMCTGCTTGGTATACGGATCCTAACCTTGTAGGTTGCTGGTAAAATTATGAACCTCAGAAGCACAGAACATTCCTGTGCTTGAAAGTGTGTGTTGGGTGTG